GTTGTAAAACCTTGTCTGTAAACAAATACGAAACAATAGTAATTGCACTGGCCTTTTAAAGCTGTAACATCGATCTAAATTATCTAATATTCAAGATAAGAAGCAGTTAAAGAACTGAGACCCATTACACCTATCTTTAATGGTTCTTCAAATATCCAATAATAGAAATAAATGACATGTTTAATTATAGTACTTTGAACAATTTATAAGATAATAATATGTGATAGTGCCTTAATTTTCAACTAATAAAAATAAATTAATTGTAAGTTTTAAATCGCTAAGAGAAATTAAAAATTAGTTGCTATGGGAAGAGATCCTTCCAAAGTAAGATTACTAAAAATATCACTAGAAAGATATCATAGAGTGTTAAATTTAACCATAAATTGATAGATATTTCAAAATGTAAAAATAATATCAATCATTCAAGTATCAAACTCGATTTTTAACATAGGAAGTTGAGTTTCACCTATTAAAACTCATAAAAATAAGAGTAAAAATAGTTATTAATAAGTGGTGGATTGCCATTTAAAAAGATGTTATGCGCATGCGCAATTATATGACATAAATTGTTTGATACTTTAATAAATTATAAAAACTTTGTTAGCTTCACAAACAAACAGAATTCAAATATATTAAATATTTGTTAAGTTATAGAGTGTTTCCAACAACCGATTACACACTGTATACTATAATAAGTAATTTATTTATAATAAGGTTATTATCTTACAGTATATTATATTATAATATTTATGTTTGTCATTACATGTTTAAATTTGAAATATTTTAAACTATTAATTAAAAAATAGTACGTACCTAGTGGTATGGATATACAGTTGTTTTTAAATATAGTATTATATTAAAGATATCATTATTATTTTTAATATTATTATTATTATTATAGGTTTTGCTAGTCATCTATAATATAGTTGGTACATTACATTGTATGCTAATAATGTTATTTTGAATTCTTACAATGTTTAGAATTTAGTGGTATAATGAAACTTCATAAACAGTCAGTAAATTATTGAATTAATAGTATATTTTAGTTTTAATGTTAATATTATATTGTAATGATATTTTATTTCCTAAATCTTATATAGGTACACTTAATTACAAATACCTATCAATAAATTGAAGTTCTTATATGTTCATTTTTATACAATCGTTGATGAAAAATAAAATAAAAACAAGAAAAATAGTTATGGTTAAAACCGATATGTAAACCAGAAATCACGAAACCAATTTGATATTTTTGGAAGCTCAGACCAAAACCGAAACCGAAATTTGATTTTGAAACCGAAACCGATAAAATCATAAAGGTTCATACCTGCTTTAAATATATCTAGATTATCAAGACTAGATCAACGTCAAAATCTGCGTAAATAAGTGATGTTTCTTTACAAGATCCAGATAGAATTTGATGATAGCCGTTCCACAGTTGCAACCTTCGTCGGCGTGCTTATCAGGCATTCGCGACCGGCTATGAATCTTTATCAGTTCATATTTTCAAAGATTCGTTAATGTTCAAAACTTTAAGTTACCTAGTCGTCTAGTCGTGCTTTCGTGTCAAAATTGCTTAGTTTTCAGTTTTATTGTTTGTGTGGTGACACTGAAGGTTCATTCATTTAGTTTTCCTTTGCATGTCAGTTGTGAATTCAAATCACTCTTTTCTTTCGATGTGACAGTGGCATGCATCATTGTTTCTTGTTTTCATTGTTCATCAGTTTTCATGTGTTGTTTGCAGTCGTCCCAAACCACGTTGTTGAATTTGTATTAATCGTCTGTATTATCGTTCATTGCAATTTCATTGCCATCACTAATTTTTTTCCCCAGATCGGTGGTCAATATTACCAGCGATTTGTTGAGATTATTCAACGTGTTTTGATGTACCTACGCGGCACGTGGGATAGTAGCGTTTGCTAAAGATCCTGTCAGCTGCATTCAGTGTTTCATCTTGATTGAGTTCATCGTTGGTGCTGCGCCGTAATCGCGCCACGCAGCTGTCATTTTGTATTAATTTATTATTACCGTATTCGGTGCGCGCATTACCTGACATAGCCATATGTGAGTATTGGTCGACCAAATATTTGTGTTTCCTATTACTAGGACCGACGGGTCCGTAGACAGTGTTATTATATTCATTATTATTTTTACATATTATAAAGTATTATACATATTAAACTATTATATTATATATTTATTATTATTAATCATTCATTGTGCACTATTAAAATAACTGAGCCATTGTTAAGCTTAAAATTATTATTATTATTTATATATATTATAGCCATTCAGGCATTTGTTTTATTATATTATATTACCAACTATTATTATTACATTATTATCTTTTTATATTTTTTTTGGTTGGCAGTGCAGCATTTTTGGATGGCCTGCCTTCCTGCCGTAAAGGCACCTTAATATTATTATTATTAAAGTTGACTGCGGCGACATTTTGGTGACCTCGATGTGATATTATTTTATTACTTCACTTGTGTTGGTTATTGTCAATTTTTAACTATTATATTTATACTTCGTTTGTGCAATATTCAGATACTGATGTTTTCACAATTATTGTAATATTGTTATTCAGTTGTTTATGTTACCTATATTTTTAGACTATTATAAATGCACTATTCAATTTGTTATTAAGTTATGACAGTTAATGTTTAATTAATTGTGCGCCATTCATGTTTATATAAAAAGGGCAGGGTACTCATTTTTTATTTTCAAATAATGATAATGAAATGTAATATTCCTTAAAATTTGTAAACATTACTAGTCAAGTATATACTCAAAAAGGCTGTGATCTATGCAAACTATTTTTTATTATTATTTTGGTGCTTAATTTGATCTCAGATATTCATTACACATTAACGGCGTACTGCTTATGATTATTACATGTTAGTTAGTCCTGTCACTGGTACTTTATTTTTTGTAATCATACAATTATTGTAAAGTTTGCACTCTTCTATCAACATGGCACTCCACAACGTTCAACCTCCTGCAGAGTTATTGAAACTGATCAAGAAGAGGGACTCATCCAAAAAATCAATGATCTCAATCAAAACATTCATCGACAAATATGATCCCACTACTAAATCATTTAACCAACTTCAAACTAGATTAGACAGCTTAATGCAGTATATGTCCAAATATGATTCTTATCAGGATGAGATTGAAGATCATGAAGCTGCTACTGATGATCTAATTGATCACAGATCCAATACAAATTACTTCTTCTGCTCTCTCAAGGCTGATATCCTGGACTTGATTGAACGCCACACCAAGGCACCATCCAATGCTTCAGGTGCACCATCGCAGCCAATTATTCATGATACAATGAAACTTCCTTCCATTCCAGCTCCTACATTCAATGGAGATCTGTAAAATTAGGTATCATTTCTTGATGCATTCAATGCTATGTTTCATCACAACCAAGGATTGTCTGATGTACAGCGTTCGCATTATCTAAAATCTTGCTTATCTGGTTTGCAGCTGAGGCAGTGCGCACCATTCCAACTACAGATGTCAACTATCGTACAGCTTATGATGCTCTTGTAAATAGATTTGAAAACAAGTCACTTATTATCCAGTCACATATACGATCACTTTTTCAAACACCTCAAGTATACGAGCCTACAGCTAACGAACTACGACAATTGCATCACCATTTAGTATCTCAAGTAAATGCTTTAAGGGCACTTGGTTAACCCGTTGATAAATGGGATGCATGGCTAGTTACATTATTGTGCTGCAGACTAGATCCAACCACTGTAGGAGAATGGCAGTTATTGCAATCAACTAAGGACCTTCCTAAATTTACTCATCTTGAAAAATTCTTGGCTAACCGGGTGTCAGCATATGAGGTTGGTGAAGTGGGCAACCAATCAACTCAACTCAAACCGTCATCTGCTAATGTACGTCCAATACAAAAAAGAGTGCTATTCACTAATCAATCTGACAATGTTCCATCCAAGGAAAGGCAATGTATTCTGTGTTCTGAACGACATCGATTATCAATGTGTGATAGCTTCAATAAAATGTCATTATCTGAACGCCAAGATTCAGTCTTTAAGAATAAGTTGTGTTATAACTGTCTGTATCCAGGTCATCAAGTTCGTCAGTGTCGTGGTGGTAATTGCAATAAATGTGTAAAACGACACAACACTAAATTGCACAATGATGCATCTTCCAACCATCCTTTAACAGATGAACAGCCATCGTCAAGTAAAAACTAATCTGTTGTAACGTACGTTGAACAGGGCAATATCAATTCTGCTGCACAAAGACAAATTATATTAGCTACTACACTAGTTAATGTAACGAATGCTGAGGGTCATCAAATTCAGTGCCGTGCAATACTAGACTCAGGGTCTCAAGTGTGTTTAATTACGAAAAAGTGTGCTACAAGGTTGAATATTAATGTTTTCAAAAGCTCATTATCGATAGCAGGCATCGGGTCTGTAACTGCTAAAACATGCACCATGATTACTATTACACTATCTTCAAGGTTCAATAAATTTGAATCATTTATAAATTTTAATATAATTGACTCAATTACTAATAGTTTTCCCACTCATTACATTAACATCGACCCATTGAACATTCCACATACTATCAGTAGCTGTCTAGCAGACCCTTACTTCAATCAACCGGCTTCAGTTGATATCTTGCTTGGAGCCGAGATAATTTTTGAACTATTTCTTGTTGAAAGTTTTAAAATCAACCCATTTGTTAAATTACACAACACTAGTCTTGGTTGGGTATTTACTGGAGCAGTTCAAATCAATGACATGCTACCAACTTCAGCAAGTCTTCTCGTATGTTATTCCAACCAATCAGCTGTTTCACTTATTGGCTACCCATACTCAACAAATTCTCTTCTGACACCAAGGCTGAAGATCATTTCAAATCTAACGTATCACGTGATAACCTTGGGCGCTTTGTAGTAATATTACCGTTTATTCGAGACCCATCAAATACTGGGCGACTCAAAGTTTATGGCTCAGCAGCGTTTTTACAATTTAGAACATAAACTATTGAAAAACCCAACACTTGCTTCGGATTACAAGAAATTCATGAAGGAGTATCTCGACTTGGGTCATATGGAGGTTGCTCAAGGTACTATTGGTTCCACATATTACTTACCGCATCATTCAGTATTCAAACATAGCAGCCTAACTACAAAAATGCGTGTAGTCTTTGATGGTTCTGCTATATCTAAGTCTGGTCACAGTCTCAATGACATACTATTGTGTGGACCTACTGTACAACTCGAGTTAATCTCTATAATTCTGAGATTTAGAATACATAAAATTGCACTTACTGCAAACATAGCTAAAATGTACAGGTAGATTCGTGTGTCATCTGAAGATTGTGATTTACAGAGAATATGTTATCGAGACAGTCCTGCTGAACCGTTGAAGGATTACAGATTTCTTACAGTGACTTACGGTACCAGAGCAGCTTCATATCTTGCCACTCGCTGCCTACTTGAATTAAGCTACAACGTTAAGAATCATGCAGCCCAGCGTGCCATCCAAGAAGATTTTATGTTGGCGACTTGCTCAGTGGTGGTCAAAATGAAAGTGAATGCCATGACCTTTTTCAAAATTTATCTGATGAACTTAACAAGGCTGGCCTACCTCTTCGAAAGTGGTGTTCAAATTCAAGTTCAGTCATGTCAAAAATGTCGATTCCTGAAAATGATCCTACTTATTTATTATCAATTAATGATGAGGAAACTATCAGCACACTCGGTCTCACTTGGCAACCGAGCACTGACTGTTTTAAATTTGTATTTAAGGATTTGTCAAGACCTATGCATATGACAAAGCGAACACTACTTTCCAACGTAAACAGTGTGTATGATCCAGTAGGCTTCCTAACTCCTGTCCTAATAAGAGGTAAAATGTTCATGCAACAACTGTGGTCATCAAAATTAAATTGGGACACACCACTATCTACTGAGATGCAAAACAAATGGACAAATTTTTATCAAGGCCTCAAGTGTTTAGAGCAGCTGTCAATCCCACGCTGTGTTCCATTTGATAGCACTGCAGCAATGGAACTCCATAGTTTCTGTGATGCATCACAGAATGTTTTTGGTGCTTGCATTTATCTTAGGTCAGCTGTCACATTACAATGCCAATTATACTGTTCTAAATCTAGAGTAGCTCCACTAAAGGCCAGTACAATTCCGCGCTTAGAGCTTTGCGGAGCACTTCTATTGGCAGAATTGGCCAACATGGTTAAGAGAGAACTGGACCGTATCAACATTCATTGTAACTCCAATAATGTCATCTTATGGACTGATTCATCTATTGTCATATCTTGGATCAATAGTGACAAACCACTCAAGTCTTATGTATCAAACAGAATAGCACAAATACTGGACCTAACTCATCCCTCTCACTGGCGTCATGTACCAACAAATAGCAACCCTGCTGATGTAATTTCGCGTGGGTGCTCTGCTGAATCATTATCAACAAACAAGGTTTGGTGGAATAGTCCTGAGTGGTTGAGTCAGACCAAAGACCTTTGGCCATCCAATAATGTTACCATCACTGAGTTACCTGAGATCAAAATAGTTCGACCGGTTCTCATACTAAATTGCTCATCAGATAATGAATTAGAAGAAAGATTTTCATCTTGGTCCACAATGATCCGCATAACAGCATATATCCTAAGATTCTGTTACAATGCTCATACCAAGGTGGTTTCCAACCGGCGATCTACATCCTTAAGTGTGACTGAATTAGCTTATGCCGAAAAGGTATTATTGCGAAAGGTGCAGTCCATATCATTTGCCTCAGATTTAATAGAGCTTAAGGCTAACAGGCCAGTTGGACGTCGTAGCGCATTGCGGACATTGAATCCTTTTATTGATGCTGATGGTCTACTGCGGGTTGGTGGTCGACTTATAAATGCTGATATTGTCTACACCAGCAAATGCCCAATTTTGCTACCAGCTAAGTCCAAAACCACCCAACTAATTTTTAAATATGAACATAAGCGTTTAATTCACATTGGCCCTCAAGGATTGTTAGCTAACATTCATCTTCGCTATTGGCCAATTCGTGGCCGAATTATTGCAAGACAAACTATCAGGCGCTGTATACTTTGTTTCCGCTCTACTCCATCTTTAACTGTTCCGTTCATGGCACCACTTCCTCGGGAAAGAGTTAACATTGAGCGTCCATTTGCTAGATCTGGTGTTGATTTTTGTGGACCAATTTTAATTAAAAGTGACATACGTAGAGTATTGAACATTAAGTGCTATGTTGCAGTGTTTGTCTGCTTTGTGACTCGCGCTGTCCACTTAGAGCTGGTTAGTGGACTTACTACTGAAGCCTTCTTAGCGTCTCTCATGCGATTCCTATCTCGTCGAGGCTATTGCAGTCATATCTATAGTGACAATGGCACAAACTTTGTCGGTGCCAACAAAATCCTTCATTCATATTTTTTACCAACCAAGGGAAAACGCTCCATTGAAGACTCCCTCTCAGACCTCAAGATTTAATGGCATTTCATACCCCCTTCCGCACCCCACTTTGGTGGCTTGTGGGAGGCGGCTGTGAAATCAGCAAAAAAACATTTGTTAAAGGTTAATGCAATGGGTCTTCTCACGTATGAAGAAATGAATACTCTGCTTTGCAGAATAGAAGCTGTATTAAATTCGCGTCCTATATCGCCTATATCTAAAGATCCATCTGATCTCAATGCATTAACCCCAGCCCACTTCTTAGTTGGAGGAAGTTTAACATTACCCGCTGAGCCTGATTCTACTGGAATACCTCTAAACAGATTAAAAAGGTAAGAACTGGTAAAATTGCAAGCTCAAACTTTTTGGAAAAGGTGGAGCACTGAATATTCTCCACAATTCCATAAACGAGGCTGCTGGCTATCGCGAAAGGACAATGTTAAGGTCGGTTCATTGGCTATCTTGAAGGAAGACAACCTTTTTTTTTTTTTTTTTTTTTTTGTGTATGAATCACAGAATTACTGGGAGGCACTTCACCACAGAGGGTTGTCCTTCCCCCAGTATTCCGCATCGTTTATTAAAATAAACCAAAACTTATACTAATACATCATAAATAAATGTACATTAAAATAATACTTTAAGAAAATATATACAACAAAACAAGGGGCCTCTAACCCCCTAAGATTAGCCTTCGGCCCACATATTAGAAAAATCTTAACTAGTAGTATATAATTACTGCTCTTTGTGCTGCCCGCTCCTCTTCTTCCTTCGTCTTTAGCACGTCGCTAACAAACCGCTTGACCGCACTCCATGTCGCCCTGTTTTCTAACATTCTAGCCACGATAGTTTCCGGTTCCATTCCTTCACCAATTTTAAACTCCAGTTCCCTTCTTGACTGCCACCATCTGTCGCACCTGAACAGAGTATGCTCGGCGTCATCCTCGTTTGCTCCGCAGTCCACGCACTTAGGAGACTCACGCTTCTTAAACCTATGTAGGTACTGACCGAAGCATCCGTGCCCAGTCAGCATCTGCGTCAGATGAAAGTCGCAACTCCCCGTGCTTCGTGTCGCCCGCTTCTTCACGTCACCAATTAATCTTCTAGTCCAACCGCCATTTCTTCCGTTTTGCCATTCCTCCTGCCATCTGTCGAATGTTTTTGACCTTTGTACCTTCTTGTCTACAGTTCTACCCAGCTTCATTTCTTCGTATGCTTCCTGTCTCTCCACCGCCTCCAGGTGATCCGGGATTATCCCCGCCACAACCAATATAGCTTCCTTCGAAACCGTCCTATAGGCCATCGCCACTCTTAGTGCCATTTTCCTTTGTGGTGCCTCTAAAATGCGTACGTTCCTTTCGTGGCGCAGACTGGCTGCCCAGGTTGGGGCTGCGTAAAGCAGCTGGTTCTTAACTACCGTGGCTAGCAGCTTCCTTGACCTCTGTTTCGATCCACCGACGTTTGGAAGAATTCTGCTCAGCGCCTCCGCCGTAGCCCCTGCTTTCATAGCCACCGATGCGATGTGCCGCCCGTACCCTAGTACTCGGGAGAGCTCCACGCCTAAATACTTAAGACTCTCCTTTGGGACGATTACCGTACCACTAACTTCAAAAATTGGGTCACCATAACCCCTCTTCGTTGTCAGCATTACCGCCTCGGTCTTATGTGCCGCTAGGGTTAGCCCATTATTAAGCATCCACTTTGAAACCGCGTCCAACGCCCTGTTACCCGCCACCTCCAACAATTGCCTCGTCTTGCCCGTAGCTATGACAGCCACGTCATCCGCAAAGGCAACAAGCGTAGCTGAGGATACTCCTGGGTCGCTTTCTCCTAACTTAATATCCAATAGGTCATCATACATAATATTCCAGAGTATAGGCCCGATAACAGAACCTTGTGGGACGCCTACACTCAATGCTCTGCTTTTTTCCTCTCCGTAAATTAATGACCTATTACTTAGATAGCTTCTTATTATCCGTGCTAGGTATTCTGGTACTTGTTTCCTGCTTAAAGCATCGCTTATTTTATCCCAGCGAGCAGAATTGAACGCATTAGCAACATCCAAAGCTATAAAGACACAAAGCTCCCTACGGTAGAGAGGACCTGTTGATTTTGCTTCGATGATCTTCATTGCCTTATTTATGGCATCCACCGTAGACCTGCCTTTACGAAAACCAAACTGGTTGTCGCTCAAATTGATATTATCATTTCTTGGATTTTCCTTGCTCTCTAAATGCTCCTCAAGCCTGCTTTTTATTATTCTTTCTAATAGCTTGCCGGCAGTGTTTAGCAAGCAGATGGGCCTATATGACGATGGCTCGTCCCGCGGTCTATTTCCCTTCTGCAGGAGCACCAACTTTGCTGACTTCCATTCAACTGGGAAGTGACCCTCAGCAAAACATAAATTAAACACCGTGCTCCATAAGTCAGGTCGGGCTTTGGCTATTAACTTAATGGCTAAGTCTGGAACGCCGTCCGGGCCCGGAGCCTTACCTATTGGAATTTTATCCGCAACTTTCTTAATTTCCTCTGCAGATATGATTTGAAAATTATCTATTTGATTGACGATCGGCCACTTTATCAATGCCTCGCTTGGAAATAGGGTGTTTACTATATGCTCCAGTCGTTCACTTATCCCAGGGATAGGTCTTCTTCCTACAAGCTTTTTCGTTACCATTTTATAGGGTAAGCCCCATGGATCCGAGTCCAATTGTTTGCAGAGTTTCTTCCAGCATCTCTTTTTACTCTTTTCTATTTCAAATCTTAGATTTTTTCTGGCTTCCTTGTACTCGTTATATTTTTCAACATCCAACTCTGCCCCATTCCTTTGTCGCTTTCTTTTGAGTGCTCGTCTGGTTGAATGGCATAATTTGCGCAACTCCTCTATTTCGTTGCTCCACCAATATGTCGCCTTTTTTCCTCCCTTATATACCCCCTTGGGCATACTTCTATCGCAGGCTTCTTTAATAATGGCTGTCAGTGCATTAGCTCCACCGGCCGCATTCTCTGCATTCTCTAACTTTACTGTTGACACATATGATTTAAGCAACGCCTGGTCGAGCTTCCGCCAACTCCATCTTGCCTCCATTTGCTGATTACTTACCCTTCCTTGCTCGTGATTGATATCAAATGAAATATACCTATGCAAGCTCAGAGATTCCTTATCTAGGACCCTCCAACCACTAACTCTACTGACTAGTTGCGACGCCACGAATGACACATCGATATGAGTAGCAGAAGACCCGCGCACAAAGGTTGGAGAGCCCCCCTCGTTGATCGCCGTCAGGTCCAGCGAAGCCATTAGGTCTGCCAATAGGACGTCTCGAGCGTCTTCGATCGGACTTCCCCAACTGCCGGACTTAGAATTGAAGTCCCCTGCCGCTACCACCTGTAATTTCGACTCTCTTATGCTTCGCTCGAGGCGTTCGAGGAAGTCCTCAAAATCGCCGATGTCCGAGCTTGAACTAGGTGGCCAATAACAGCTATATATCCTTAGTCCTGGAACTTCCACCCACCTGAAGCCACTTTCTTTAGGACCAATGCCCTGGACCAATACCGTCTCCGTCACGTAGATAGCCGCCCGCCCTGTTGAGTCTGGAAACCAGCCATCTTCTTCGCTGCCACTTCGGTTTTGTTCACTTACTAGAAGGACATCAACCCCAATCTCCTCCATTGTCCGCCTCATCAGATCTTGCGCGGCCCGGCCTACTCCAATATTTACTTGAAGGACCCGCAGCATCATCCTGCGTGCGGGTCGGCCTCCTCATCTAGCGGTTTAAAGCCTATAGCACCCACCTCCAGCGTTCTCGTGGTCTCCTCTAAGTCTCCTCTCCTATATATGTCTAGCGCTTTGGAGTCCGCTGTGCATTTTAATGCAAAATGTCCTTCATTGCCGCACCGTCTGCAATTTTTGCTCCTATCTGGGCCCGTACAATTCCGAGCTTCGTGGCCAAAGCGGTGGCACCTGAAGCATCGTACCCTTTTTACCGCTTCTTTAATTCGGCAGTACACCAAGCCTATTCTGATGCGCCCAACTGCACACGCTTTTGTTGCCGCTTCTGCTGGAACTATCGCCACCGCCGTTTGTCCGCCATCGTAAACTTTGCGAAGACTTATGGTTTTAACGTCAGCTATACCAATACTGCAATCCCGGGCTATAGAACTGGCAATCTCTCCCTCGTTTACACTAGGGTCAAGATCTCGTATCTCCACCAATTTACGTTGCTCCGGCCTTCTAATGGAGATACTGGGGCCCATTGCCCTGTGGACTTCATCACTAACTCGAACTATCTCTTCGGCACCACCACGTATTTGGATTAATAAACCACCGTTCCTAGTTTCCCTTATCTTGGAAATGCATGTTCCGGTCGCCTCCGCTCTGGTGCTCTTCTTAATATCCATTAGTAAATCTGCGAATTTATCCTCGCCTCTGCTCACGATAATTGCCGGTTGTAGAAATTTGGCCGCAGGCTTTCTCCTACTTTTCTTCCTAACAACTTCCGACCAACTATTAACCGCCTCGCTAGTTGAGTTCTCCACAATACTCTGCTTTGTGGGCTTCGTTGTTTCTGGCTTCGGATGGACGGCTACTGGCATGTCCGAGGCTATATGTGGTGCGGCAGGAGTATTCTGCCTTCTGAGACGACTAGGAACCTTTTTGCTATCAGAGCCTCCCACGCTGTTCGACGCACCAACCGAAATCATACTCTGACTCTTAGCTAAGCTGTCAATAGCAATCTGCTGTACCCCTAATTGCTTCTTTATCTCCAATAAGGTACAGAGAACTGTTGTGTTAGCTTCCTTGGCATCCTTGGATCCAGGCGTTCCTGACGCGGCAGTCTCTTTCGTCTTGGGACGTTCGGTGGATGAACTATTTCTCATGCTCTTTACTTTGGTATACTGTGAAATTAACTTATCTGAGTTTACAAGCATATCCTTTAGCTCCTTGTGAACATTTCGGGTCTTCGCAGCAAAAGTTGCCATAGAGGTAATACATTTCTGAAGCATACCTAACAGTTGCTCTTCATTCATTTCTCCAATGT